ACATTTTTTTAGTTACACGTGTTAAAAGTTTTGGAGGAAGGAAGAAATACAGAAGCGATCTAAAGAGAAGAAGCAGAAGAAACGGCGGCAATACTACTATCATCATCATCATCATCATCATCATCATCATCATCATCATCGTCATCATCATCACCACCATCACCATCACGATCACCACCAGCTACAGCAACAGTAACGGCAGCAGCAGTAGTGTCAACAGCAGAAGAAGACATAGACTGTTGTTGATCGGTTTAAGTCCAAAAATGTTCTACATTGTCGAATTGTGGTTGCGGTGGTGGTGAAAAAAAAAAAACAACTTTTTGTTGAAAATTTTTTTTTTATTTGTCAATTTGCTTATTTCCCTATCTCTTTTTTTCCTTGTTTCTTCCACTCCAAAAGAATTTTTCTGCTTTTGTTTTTGAATTTATTTCACTTGTTACCTCTTCTTTTTTTTCGTTTTCCACCTTTTTTTTGCTAATTTTGTTTTGTTTACCGATTTGGGCTTACCAACTGTGTCAGGTGGAAGGGGCGGTGAAAAAAATCATTTTAAAAAAAGGAGGATTTGAATGCATGATGTCCAAGTGTTTCTCCATTGAATATCTTATTGGTGTTGGTAACACAAATGAAAAAGAAAAGAAGCTTTGCCAACAAACAACGGATTTTGCTTTATTGTCGTCGCCTATAGCGACAGCGACGGATTTATCAACGACAAAAAAGTTGCGACAGTCTCCGCCGAAATGTTTGTCGTCGATTTTGCAATCATCATCAAACAACGATACACAAGCATCGTCAGCAGAATTACTATCGTCTGTGGTCGACATCAACACCGTTGCTACAGCGGAAGCAGCAGCAATAGTAGCTGCTGCCACACCGTCGTCATCACCACCATCGTCGTCATCGTCGTTTTTATCATTGTCTTCTGCTTCCTCGTCATCCCCTTCATCATCGTCGTCATCAGCAATTGCCGATCATGATTTGGTGTTGGTCAAACAATCAACAGATGAAACAGGCAAGGATGGTCCCGATGAGCAGCAGCAGCAACAACAACAACGAAACGTTGAAACATCAACTGCCGCAAGTGGACAAACTTTTCGGACATTTCTATCAGAACCAACAAAATCGTTGGCTGTAAATAATTATCATATTGGATTGCAGAATGTTAACGTACGGTTAGAAGGAGCTTCACTGTGGAATAAATTTTATTCATTTGGTACCGAAATGATTGTAACAAAAACTGGAAGGTAAGTTAATTTAATTACAATTTTTGCTTTTTATTCTTCTTTTTTTTTCAACTTAAATTTTTTTAGGGCTTCAGTTATAAAGTATAACTTCTTCTGTAGATATTCTGATATCAATTACCTTTTCTAATTTGTCAATATTTTCTTTTCTAAATTTAGCGACTAAACCATTCAAAAACGTTTTTGATTCATTTAATTTAGTGTTTTGTGAATTTATACAAATTCGTTCTACAAAAATAGTGCTATAACCATCCAGAAGAATTGAATTTTTTATTTAAACTTTTGAATTCTTATTGATATTGAGCTAATCGCCTTTTGGAAATAAAAATTCAAATAAGCCTGAAAATTTTCGATTCTCCGGAATTTATATAGTTGACAAACTGCTTTTGCCGCTAAGAAAGAGTTTGGTGGAGAATATGTTACCAAAAAAAGTCGCTAATGGTGGTAAAAAGTGCTTAAAAACTGAATAAATTAACTTAGTTAACTTTATTTTGGTAGTTTTTTGCACTTTAACTAAATTGTAGGATAAGTTTGAACAGCAGAATTGTGCTAGAGGCCCAGTTACTGATGAAAACAGAAAACCTTTTGTAGAAAACAACAAAAAAATTCTTTCTGGATTTCTATTTCAAAATTTAAAATTTTTACCTTCGAAAATCTTAGTCAGAGCTTCAAACAGGTAACTGTCACCGATGCAGCAGAAAATGGGAGTTATTTTATTTTGAATCTACGGCGGTGTTACTGTTTTTTAAATTTTTTATTTGTTGAACTATTTTGAAATTGAATATATTTGGTGGTAAAAACTGAAAAGTTATGCTTGTCGACAATTTACCATTTCCGAAAAACGATCGAATATACGATAAAAACTTTTTTATCTTTTTTTCTTCTTTGAGCTTTCGTTTCTTTTTTTTTGCCAATTTCTTCTATTGTTTTCTCATTCCTATAATTTGAAGCATCTCAGCAACACTGATTGATGTAAGCATCTCAAAACAGATGTTAAAATTATTGTATTCTCAATCAACAACATTTCAGTTCCACAGAGGAAGGTTGTTTTAGAAACCAGAAAAAAAAATTGAACAGTAAAACAAATAAATGAAATAATATTATGCTTTTCAATGGTTGTTAAACCGATCTAAAAAGCAGAAAAAAAAGAGAGGAAAAAAAGTAGAGATAAAAATAAATAAAATCACCAAAAAAGCAAAACTGTAGCAAAAAAAAATTAGTTTAAACAAAAAAAAAAAAAAAAAAAAAAAAAAAAA